GCGAAACTATCTGGAAAGTTCCCCAGTCAACAAAATACTTGATGAAGTTGGATATGTCGCCCAAAAGACGCAAATATTGCAGATTTGCTGTAAACAGGCACAACGCTATAGTCCCAAGAAACACATCATACATTCATAGATTCCTACCTAGAAGCTCGATGAATGCAAGGTGCACCCATTTGACCTCTCTTTTCTATCCCTTGGGACTCTGATGCTAAACCTACAGGAGGTGTAAGAGTTACGCCACTCAGACGAAAGAAAATAAGAGAAGAAGACCCAAGACAGCCCAGTCCTACACCAGCCTAAACAGTGGTACACCAGCCTAAACAGTGGTACACCAGCCTAAACAGTGGTACAACAGCCTAAACAGTGGTACAACAGCCTAAACAGTGGTACACCAGCCTAAACAGTGGTACACCAGCCTAAACAGTGGTACACCAGCCTAAACAGTGGTACACCAGCCTAAACAGTGGTACACCAGCCTAAACAGTGGTACACCAGCCTAAACAGTGGTACACCAGCCTAAACAGTGGTACACCAGCCTAAACAGTGGTACAACAGCCTAAACAGTGGTACACCAGCCTAAACAGTAAACAGTGGTACACCAGCCTAAACAGTGGTACAACAGCCTAAACAGTGGTACACCCAGCCTAAACACCAGCCTAAACAGGTACACCAGCCTAAACAGTGGTACACCAGCCTAAACAGTGGTACACCAGCCTAAACAGTGGTACACCAGCCTAAACAGTGGTACACCAGCCTAAACAGTGGTACACCAGCCTAAACAGTGGTACACCAGCCCTACACCAAACAGTGGTGGTACACCAGCCTAAACAGTGGTACACCAGCCTAAACAGTGGTACACCAGCCTAAACAAACAGTGGTACACCAGCCTAAACAGTGGTACACCAGCCTAAACAGTGGTACACCAGCCTAAACAGTGGTACACCAGCCTAAACAGTGGTACACCAGCCTAAACAGTGGTACACCAGCCTAAACAGTGGTACACCAGCCTAAACAGTGGTACACCAGCCTAAACAGTGGTACACCAGCCTAAACAGTGGTACAACAGCCTAAACAGTGGTACACCAGCCTAAACAGTGGTACACCAGCCTAAACAGTGGTACACCAGCCTAAACAGTGGTACACCAGCCTAAACAGTGGTACATCAGCCTAAACAGTGGTACACCAGCCTAAACAGTGGTACACCAGCCTAAACAGTGGTACATCAGCCTAAACAGTGGTACACCAGCCTAAACAGTGGTACACCAGCCTAAACAGTGGTACAACAGCCTAAACAGTGGTACACCAGCCTAAACAGTGGTACACCAGCCTAAACAGTGGTACACCAGCCTAAACAGTGGTACACCAGCCTAAACAGTGGTACACCAGCCTAAACAGTGGTACAACAGCCTAAACAGTGGTACAACAGCCTAAACAGTGGTACACCAGCCTAAACAGTGGTACAACAGGCAATAAAGACAGTTTAGTTAACTACTTTCCCAGTAAACCGGGAATTAGCAGGTGAATACAGCTTCATGGGTGCTTTATTAATATCCTACCCCAGATGACGTCACAGGACAGTCCAACATTTTAGAGGGTGGTAAGACTGGGTTTCCCAGCTTTCTGATGCTTTTAACAACCCCTAGAACATCTAGAACTGGCCCTAACCCCAAGCCACCTACGTCCCCCGAGAGAGTGCAGCCTAGGTCCCATGACTGCACGCAGCATATCTACTACCCCCTGAAATATTATACTGTCCCGTGACCTGTGGGTTTCCCCTGTTTGGGGTAGGATATTAATAAAGCACCGTTTCATGCCTGCTCAGAATGAGAATGAAGGAAGAAATGATTGCAGAAAGGATGAGAGCCGAGCGTCTGAGAAGAAACAAACAAAAATAAATGTTGACAATGGTCCTGACACCCTATGCTATCACTGTGGAAGACTTTTCTTGACACGGGCGGGTCTTGCTAGTCACACTCGGCATCGCCATGAGTTGTGAGTCCCATGCCTCCTCATAGCGCAATATAACACTATCATCTGGAAAGATGTCAATCAATCATCACAGCTTCATGCAGGTGGTCCTCTGCTCGCATCACAGCTCTCTTGGAAGAAACTCTGCCTCTCGCCAGCTTCATGTACTTCCCTACGCAAAAGTGCTAATTACCTCCTGTGCCCATTTTCAATGTTGATCGGGCCCGGGCGCTCTTTCCTGTGACTATGCTTTCCGTTATTATTTTAACCAGTCCACCCTGGCACTTGATACGGTGAAAATATTTTAGCTTCCGAGGCAAGATGCTATTTACTAGCCAATCTTCCTTGATGTTTAGACCTTTAAGGATGTTAGTATTTCTTGTCTTCTTGGTTTATCACATTCCGAGAATCTTTCTGCAGTATTTCAGTTCAAAAGTCTCTATTTCTTCCTTAACGACTGTGAGATAGTTCAGTTCAAAAGTCTCTATTTCTTCCTTAATGACTGTGAGATAGTTCAGTTCAAAAGTCCCTATTTCTTCCTCAACGACTGTGAGATAGTTCAGTTCAAAAGTACCTAATTCTTCCTTAACGACTGTGAGATAGTTCAGTTCAAAAGTTTCTATTTCTTCCTTAACGACTGTGAGATTAACGACTGTGAGATAGTTCAGTTCAAAAGTCTCTATTTCTTCCTTAACAACTGTGAGATAGTTCACCTATTTGTTGCTACATGGACAATACATGCTCTCACAATTTTGACTTTATTTCTTTGCTAGTGTTTAATCAAAACTACTATAGAGAAAAAAATATATGTTAATGAGCAAAGATTGGAGGTTGTGGACAATGTTGAATATCTTAGGTTATTGATTACCAACAATGGTGAGACAATGAAAAACATTAACGACGGCTATCAGTTACTCTTCAAAGAATAAAACTGAATAAATTATGGAATGGGATAGACAGAACTACAAAAGTTAGATTTCTAAGAGCATGCATCTTTTCCATTGCAACATACGCCTGTGAGACCTGGACACTTACTAAACAAGCTGAACAGCACATAAATAACTTTGAATACAAATGTTATAGATGGGTTCTAAGAAATGCATCCATATTTCAAGAACTGAATAGTGAAGAAGGTTGGCTATTAAAGACAAGAAAACACAGAAAAATTGAAATATTTTGGTCACTTGAAACATCACAAAAGTTTAGAGAGAAAAATAATGGAGGGGTATGTGCCTTGGAAGAGAGGAAGAAGAAGGCCAAAGAGAAGGTGGGTGCAGGATGTGTCAGATGCTCTCCAGATCGGTGTATCGGACCCTGGACATCTTGCTTGTGATCGAGAAATATTCCGTAGGGTTGTTATGGGAGCAAGGTTCTGCAAAGGACATGCCACTGACTGCTTAATCATAGACTTTGAATGCTGTTTATATCAAGTATGTATAACAGGTCCATTTCAGGCGTGGCGGGCAAAATGACCCACAGTAATCTTCTTCTTCTTCTTCGCATTCACCAGCTGTACACTCTGGCGGAAGGTTCTGGTTGCTCATCCACTACTGAACTGCAGTCCTGCTCCAGAACCTGAGTGTTGCGTGTGCATCAGTTTTACAGATCTCATTCTCTTGAATACAGACTATTGGTTCCTTGCCTCTCCGACAGATGCACTCCGACTTCAAATGAAGCTCCCCAATTAGTCGACTCTTACGACATGCTTTTGGGGAGGCAGTGGGTCTATTCTTGTTTTCCCCACAATGGGGGCCCCGGAACCCACACGGGGGTCCCCACAGTAATCAAGTCGTAAAAGGTTGCTAATTACAATTATGGATTTTCTGAAATCAGATGTAAAAATAAAAAATAAAAAAAAAAGGAAAGGACTCTTTTCCACATCTTTAAGCATATTGAGCATATAGGGCTATACTTATATTTTTTATAGACCAATTGGCACTTGCTGGGTGATGTGGTAAGCATCTCGCCGACCTCCTTTACTTCCCAGGACTGCACCTGGTACTCACTCAAGGTTGGGTTGACCTAGGAGTCAAGGTCATTTTTGAAAAAAGTCCAGCTCCGTCAAGGCCTGAAGCCACGACCCTTCAACCCCAGGCGGGCGTCTAGCGGCCACCGCTGCGGCGACTCCCGAAATCAGATGCGTTAAGTTAAAAGGCATAGTTATCAGAGCAGAGCTGTAAACCACAACACAAATGACAACCATCCTTTAATGGGTGAGCGCAAAAGATAAAGAATATGAAATTCTTGATATAGAAAAAAAAGAGTAAAGGTCACTTTTCCACGCCTTTAGGCATATAGGGCTAGACATATAATTTTAAAGACCAATCGGCACAAGATGGGTCACGTGGACAGCATCATGCTAGCTACCTTTACTTCCCGGGACTGCACCTGGTACCCACTCAAGGCTGGGTCGATCCGGGAGTCAAGGTCATTTTTGGGGAAAAAAAAGTCCGGCTCCACCAGGGAACGAACCCACTACCTTCCGATCTACACATGAGCGTCTAGTATGGGGATAAACAAATTTTTGGGCTGAAAGTGAAATAAACCTCCCCCCCCCCCAGAGCCACCACATAAAGCACAAACTCCATGACGCCATTAATCTTCTTCTTCTTCATGTTCACCGCCTGTAAACTCCGGCAGAAAGTTCTGGTTGTTTGTCCGCCTCTGGACTTGAGTCTTGTTCCATAACCTGAGTGTTGTGTGCACTTCTGTTGAACAGATCTGACTTAATTCTATGCAGATTGTTGGTTCCATGCCTCTCAGGCAGGTGCACTCTGACTTTCAAGGAAGCTCCCAATCAGTCGACCCTTACAGCATGTTTGTGGGGGATGGGGGGTCTATTCTTGATTTCCCCCATAATGGGTCCCCAGAACCCACATGGGGAACTCGATTAATGATCACCAGGGATTTCCAGATTTTAAAAAAAAACTCTTGTGCTAAAAAAATAAATATTAAAAAAAAAAGTAAACCTGGTATTTTGTTAAAAAAAAAAAAAAAAAAACAACAACAACACCCAGACGACTTACCTTCAGGAAATCCATGTAAAATATTCAGCGTCACTGATTTGTGAACTTTATTCTCAGTGGCGATGAAAATAACAAACAGGACCTTTTGACCCTTGAGTTCGTCCAACAGCTGCAGTGGTGCAAGACTTGCTGGTTTGACAGTCACCGAGGTAACTATACTGAAATTCTTGATCCGTTCTTGCACGTATTCTCCATAGGGCCTGATGGACAAGAGAATGACACCAGGCACTTTGAAGTGATGAAATGCATGATGGTATATATATATATATATAGAGGTTCAAATCCTCTATAAGTAAAAGTAAAAGTTAAGGACCATTTTCCACGCCTTTAAGCGTATAGGGCATATAGGGCTAGACCTATATTTTAATAGACCAATCGGCACAAGGATGGGTGATATGGTCAGCATCATGCCGGCCGCCTTTATTCTCCCGGGACTGCACCCGGTACCCACTCAAGGCTGGGTCGACCTGGGAGCCAAGGTCATTTTTGAAAAAAAAAGTCTGGCTCCGCCAGGGAGCAAACCCACAACCTTCAGATTCGCGGTGAGCGTCCAGCCGCTCGGCCACGGCGACTCAAATCCTCTGTAAGGCTGAAGACTTTTTTCCAGATAAAAATAAAAATTTTCACCTGCACAGACCGTGGCGATAGCACTAGCCATGCGGCCGTTAACCACCCACTCCCCCAACACCGCTAAAGTGGTAAAATAAAGGCAGTTACCGGCAGTTTATACATGTTTTACATTACCGGAGAGAATGAGGCACCTGGGTGTAACCAGGGGGTCTGGCCGGCTCACTACACTCAGAGGAAAGACAAGACGGACATATAACCAGATTGTGACTAGTACCATCAGCATTGGAACTCTGCGCTGGCTGCTGAAGATGAGGACACAGCAGGCATGGGAATGCCCTGAGTGCTGTGATGTCAATTCTCGACTCAACTCAAACATGTTATACATTAACTACCAGCACAGGGGCCACACATGAAAAGATCTGATGTAAAAGGCAAGAGGTCGCCCTAGACAAACATGGATTGATGACATTATAGAGCTACTACACTGACAGAAATGATAACATCCATTGCTTAACTTAACCATTACCTTAACAACAAAAATGGAAATTGATGATGATGATGATACACATAATACTACTTCTTCTTCGTGTGCACCGGCTGTAAAATCTGGTGGTAACTTCTGGTTGTTCATCCACCTCTGGGCTTTGGTCTCTTTTAGTCTTGTTGCCGAACTTGAGCGTTGCGTGCACATCCATTTTACATATATAACTTATTTCTATGCAGACTGTTGGTTCCTTGCCTCTCAGGCTGATTTGCTCTGACTTCAAAAGAAGCCCCTAATTATTTGACTCGTTTCCCCATGTTGGTTCTGGTGCCCTATTATAGGTAAAACAAGAATAGACCCACTACCTACCCAAAGGCATATCGTAAGAGTTGACTAATAGTGAGCTTCCTTTGAAGTCTGAGTGCATCTGTCTGTGAGGCAAGGTAATTTAAATTTGGCTGAAGAAACATATAGTCCGCAGTCCACCGCCAAGTGCTTCCCCCGTGGGTTCCGGGGGTCCCATTGTGGGGGAAAACAAGAACAGACCCACTGTCTCCCCAACATGCATGTCCTAGGTGTTGACTAACTGGGGACTGCCTCCCAAGTCACAGAGAATCTCTGCCTGATGGGCAAGAAACAACCAGCACACAAGCGGATGTATATGCACAACTCAGGCCCTGGCACGAAGCAAAACTACTAAATGGACAAACAACCCGGACTTTAGACCGGAGCTTACAGCTGGTGAACATAGAAGAATTGTCAAGTACATGGTACTGATCTTCCCCCCCCCCACGGGGGGGGGGGGGGGGGGGGGGGGGGGGGGGGAATGATCGCTAATTTTCAAAATGCCCCCCTCTGGATGTAAACTTTGTTGAACCATGACTGCCTCCAGCTGACGACATCACCAGTTAGGGCTAAAAATGCGTTAGCGCAGCGGTTCTCAAACTGGGTGCCGAGGCACTCTGGGGTGAGGCGGCAATAATCAAGAAAAGTCGGCTAACATTTGTTTAATGATTAAAGAAGGCATGTAGATAGTTAAAAGTTAAAATCTAAGTTGTCTCCCCTCGCCACTGTCGAAAATAGTTTATTTTTTGTTTGAGAACCGCTGCGTAAATGCATCGTTAGACCGACCCAGTTACCGAGGCAGCATGGCCTGCCAGCTGGAGACGGGCGTGGTTGAACAGCCCTGCATGAAGGAATCGAAAGAGCTAAGGGAGAACACAAAAGAAGTTTTTACAATGTAAGCACTCACCTCAACGCTGCATTCGAGACATATATTTCACATTCTGCTGGGTGATTTACTTTGGGAGGCTCCCTATAAGGTACGTCAAATGCACCTGGCCTGAGGAGAAAGAAGGAACTAATGAGGCCCACACACTAACATGTACAGGGTGGCCCATAGGTTTCCATACACAAACAAAAATTACCATTGTTTGGAAAACACATTCCCCGAGTGGATTTTGAAGCCCCCATTGTGGGGGGGGGGGGGGGGGGAGAAGACTGATCCACTGCCTGCCCAAAAGCTTGGGGTAAAAGTCGACTAATTGGGGGCTTCTTTCAAAGTCAGAGTACATCTGCCTGGCAGACAAGGAACCAACAACAATGAGTCAGACCTGTGAAATGAATGTGCACGCAACACCCAGTTTCTGGAACAGGAGTCAAGAAGTGGATGAACAATCAGAACTTTAAACACGAGTTGACAGCTGGTAAACAAGAAGGAGAAGAAGAAGACGAAGAAGAAGAAGAAGAAGAAGAAGAAGAAGAAGGAAAACACATTTCACTACGGGGCCTTCATTGCTAAAGAAAACGATTGAGCACAGCTGAAGTTTCCGGGGTCGACCCAGCTTTAAACGGATAAAAGGTATGGTCCTGGGAAGTAAAGGTGGCCAATGTGACGCTGACCACATTTTCCAGAGAATGCAAATCAGGTCTATAAAATGTAGGTCTAACCCTATATGCCCAGTTTGTTAGTTAGTTATCGACAGACTATCCTCATGGCACATTGAACCATTCAGTCAATAGGCACTTAGATCCTCTCCTTAGTAAATGCTGCAATGTGTGGTGACTCATGACACCAGTTGTGCCTTATATGCCCAATATACATGAAGGCGTGGAAAAGGATTCTTCAGATTTGTACTTACACCTGAAATTATGCATTTAATGGCGTTGGTGGTATGTTTATTTGTTCCGTACGTATGGAAACTTATAGAACACCTTGTACACATACTTGTACAAAGAACATCAGGTTCACTGGATATCCTTTACCACTCCAATGTACTTTAACTGTATATTCGTCCTGCCTTGCCGTTGTGTGCTGAGCACACAAGGGGGGGGGGGGGGGGGGGCTGAGCACTTATGGACATGTCCGGAGTGTTGTGAAGATAGCCCAACTCATAACATTACAGCTGCACCCAGTACCAAAGCTGTCACACAGGCATACCGGACACTGTCCTATCAATCAAAACGCATAAAAGCCAGAAATAATGGCTTTCTCTGGCCGACAAGCTTAAGTACAGCTACATATACTTGCAAGTGATTCTTCATTTCATAAACCTCCAGACATCAACCTTAATATAGTTATTCAACTAACCATTCAATTAGGTTCCGTGTCCACAGTGAAGGGCAGCCGCAAGGGATCTCCAAGACATTCTGTCTCTTGTCTTGGTTATACTCTCTCTCTCTCTCTCTCTCAGACTACTGTCTGTCCATCTCCTAATGTTATCCTCCCACTTGCAACACTGTCTACTTCTTGCTCTCTAGCGTGGTTTTTAAAAAGGATATTGTTCTCCGTGTGGTTTCCGGGGCCCAATTGTGAGGAAAAAACAAGAACTGACCCACTGCTTCCCCAGCAAACATGTTGTAAGAGTCGATTAATTAGTGCTTCCTTCAAGGTCAGAGTGCCTCTGCCTGAGAGACAAGAAACCAACAGTCTGCAAACAAATAAGTCAGATATGTAAATTGCATTCAACACTCAGGTTTTGGAACAAAACTAAAGCCCAGAGGTGGATGAACAACCAGAACTTTCTGCTGGAGTTTACACCTGGTGAACTGAAGAAAAAACCTATTATGTCTTTTAATGTTGCAAATAAAATGTCAGTTGTCCCTTTTTTACTACAAACAAGTTATTGTAAACATCCTAACTAACCAACTGAAAATACTACCTGACTGGCCCGTCACCCATCCAAGGTTCAGGGAACCTTGGCCTGTAAGAATCTTCAAAAAATGGGTCCATGGGTCTGAAGTCACTGGAGGGATCAGAAAGTAATGGATCAGTGAGTAATGGATTAGTTAGCAATGGATCAGAGAGCAATGGATCAGAGAGCAATGGATCAAAAAGCAATGGATCAGTAAGTAATGGATCAGTAAGTAATGGATCAGTAAGTAATAGATCGGAAGGTAATAGATCAGTAAATAATGGACCAGACAGTCATGGATCAGAAAGTTATGGATCAGTAAGTAATGGATCAGAAAGTCATGAATCAGAAAGTAATGGATCAGTAAGTCATGGATCATAAAGTAATGGATCAGTAAGTAATGGATCAGTAAGTCATGGATCAGTAAGTCATGGATCAGTAAGTCATGGATCAGAAAGTAATTTGGAACTGTAAAAATAAAGTAAAAGACCCTTTCCCACTCCTTCAGGTGTACTGGGCTCTGTTTCAATTTACTACTGCCAAGGGATTTTTTTTTTTAAATGTGCGCAACAATACACACGGGTGTCCGGTCTTACTACCCAGAGACCAGGGAAAAGTACTAGAAGTCCACTATAAAAAAAAAAAAATCACTTGGGTTTGAACCCAGGACCTCCAGCACCTCAGGGCAGATGCCATACCTCGAGACCACACAACCTCCCAATATATGTATATGTTTGTAAAATATAATTATATTTCTCACAGAGAAGTTCAAGTTAGTCAGTCGACAGATTATCCTCAATGGATATCAAACCATTCAGTCCATAACTGCTCTGATTCCCTCCTCAGTAAATCCTGCAGTATGCACTGGTTCACAACACCAGTTATGTACTGGTTTCTTTTACTTCTTTGGCTTCCTGCGCAGTGCTCTTGTCTGGCCATACCCCTTTTAACATGCTGTTCTTGCAGTCAGCTCATGGCTGCAGATTCACAGTCACCTCTTGGTTCTCGCAAAAGTCTTACTTCTCGTAGATCATTTAGTATATCAGCTTAGTCCATGGCTTTGAATTAACACTTCAGTCTCAAATCAACCTAATGCACCCATAACTAAATCAACACTGAATTTCATTTACTAAACACTAGATTTCAAATAAACATAAAGACAGAAATAATCTACTTATAGAACACTAGATTTCAAATGAACACAAAGTCAGTAATAAACTATTTACTGAACACTAGAATTCAAAAAAAGAAAGAGTCTCAAATAAACTACTTACTGAACACTAGATTTCAAAACACAAGTCAGAATTAATCTAATTACTGAACACTAGATTTAAAATGAACATAAGGACAGAAATAATCTATTTACTGAACACTAGAGTTAAAATGAACATAAAGAAAGAAATATCAACTTACAGAACACTAGAGTTAAAATGAACATAAGGACAGAAATAATCTATTTACTGAACACTAGATTTAAAATGAACATAAGGACAGAAATAATCTACTTACTGAACACTAGAGTTAAAATGAACACGAAGGACAGAAATAATCTACTTTGAACCGAACAAGTAGATTTAAACATGAAAACACAAGACAGAAATAATCTACTTCTGAACATTTGATTTCAAAACACAAGTGAACTACTTCCTACATTTGAGTCAGAAATAAACTTCCTGAACATTTGATTTCAAAACACAAGTCAAAATCACTACTTACAGAACACTAGATTTCAAAACACAAGTCAGAAATAAACTACTTACTGAACACTAGATTTCAAAACACAAGTCAGAAATAAACTACTTACTGAACACTAGATTTCAAAACACAAGTCAGAAATAAACTACTTACTGAACATTTGATTTCAAAACACAAGTCAGAAATAAACTACTTACTGAACACTAGATTTCAAATAAACATCAAGACATAATTTATCCAATTACTGAACACTAGATTTCAAATGAACATAAAAACAGATGTAACTAACTGAACAGTTCAGTCTCACATCAACCCAACGTCTGCAGTAAAAAACTGAATACTAAATTTCAAATGTATTCAGAAAATTTCAAAAAGCCAGCAGCATCTAATTGAACATCTGTCTAAAAAATAACAACAACCACAAAAGCCAGTAGCAACTAAATGAACATCTGTCTTTAAAAAAAAAATACTACAAAAGCAAGCAGCAACTAAATGAACATGTTTCAAATGAACACAAAAGCCAGCAGCAACTAAATGAACATCTGTCGCAAATGAACACAAAACCCAGCAAACTAAATACAAAATGAACACAAAAGCAAGCAGCAACTAAATGAACATCTGTTTCAAATGAACACAAAAGCCAGCAGCAACTAAATGAACATCTGTCGCAAATGAACACAAAACCCAGCAGCAACTAAATGAACATCTGTCGCAAATGAACACAAAAGCCAGCAGCAACTAAATGAACATCTGTCGCAAATGAACACAAAAGCCAGCAGCAACTAAATGAACATCTGTCTCAAATGAACACAAAAGCCAGCAGCAACTAAATGAACATCTGTCGCAAATGAACACAAAACCCAGCAGCAACTAAATGAACATCTGTCGCAAATGAACACAAAAGCCAGCAGCAACTAAATGAATATGTTTCGAATGAACACAAAAGCCAGCAGCAGCAACTCTCAAATGAACACAAAAGCCAGCAGCAACTAAATGAACATCTGTCGCAAATGAACACAAAAGCCAGCAGCAACTAAATAAACATCTGTCTCAAATGAACACAAAAGCCAGCAGCAACTAAATGAACATCTGTCGCAAATGAACACAAAAGCCAGCAGCAACTAAATGAACATCTGTCGCAAATGAACACAAAAGCCAGCAGCAACTAAATGAATATGTTTCGAATGAACACAAAAGCCAGCAGCAACTAAATAAATATGTTTGGAATGAACACAAAAGCAAGCAGCAACTAAATGAACATCTGTCTCAAATGAACACAAAAGCCAGCAGCAACTAAATGAACATCTGTCTCAAATGAACACAAAAGCCAGCAGCAACTAAATGAACATCTGTCTCAAATTAACACAAAAGCCAGCAGCAACTAAATGAACAGCTGTTTCAAATGAACACAAAAGCCAGCAGCAACTAAATGAACATCTGTCTCAAATGAACACAAAAGCCAGCAGCAACTAAATGAACATCTGTCTCAAATGAACACAAAAGCATCTCCTGCAGCTTTGCTCATGAATATCACTGATCAGCAACTAGCCCAAATGTAATATCTGATTCTCAAATGAACACAGTAGTTCAGCATAATTTACATTGACTGAACATAAAAGAACAAAATATACAGCACTTTCAGAAAATACAAAGCCAGCATTAACCCTCTTAGCACGGACGGGCCGATTATCGGCCGGCGGATGTCTGGCCAAAAACACGGAACGGCCGATCATGTTTCGCCTCGAACCGCTAAGAAATCTCCTATTTTGAAACACTGAAAGTGATTCATTTATATTAACTGCTGTATCAGCTTTACACATGGCGACTTTCGAGTGTTTGGTATCGAAGTGAAAATTGTTGTTGAATTTTTTAGATAGTGACCTGAACCGCTAAAAGTATGTCTGACTCAATGTTTCTGCCCCTTAACTTGATGTTGATAAAACATTTGAATCAAGTGATGACACTAATTCTGTTGATACAGATGCAGGATTTAGTGTTAGTAGTAATAGTGGGAATCAGATGGGGACGCTGTTGTGTTCAGACCACAGCCCAACCACGGCTCAGGGTATATCCACCCGAAAGTGTTGACACTCCGGCACATCCATTTCTTGTGCTGACTGATGGTGAAAAACACATGTCACCTAAAGATATTATTGCTGTTTCATATATTTATACCTGTTTTTGACTACTGAATTGCTTACAACATTTGCAAAAAGGCCAAAGATCAATAAAAAGATTACAAATTAAAAAAATTTTTGTTTTTAGTTTTATGTTTCAAGCATTGAAGTTGAAAATTCAAATTCAAATTTTCTATTTTTAGATATGCAAATGAGATAATTTGCATATATGGGCTTTTGTGTTCATTTGAGACAGATGTTCATTTAGTTGCTGCTAGCTTTTGTGTTCATTTGAGACAGGTGTTCATTTAGTTGCACTGGCTTTTGTGTTTATTTGAGACAGATGTTTACTAGTTAATGCTGGCTTTGTATTGATATGTTCTTTTTATTGCTGCTGACTGTGTGTTCATTTGAAACAGATATTTATTTTAATGGTATTGTGAAAATCATGAACTTCAATCTATATCCTTCAAGATATATTATTTCATGGGGGTCAGAATAACAGAAATATGTCAAAAAATTAAATAAAGTAATAACCAAATTCACTAAAAAAATACTCCGTGTTTTTGGCTAGACCTCTGAAAAACTTCCCGTGCTAAAAGGGTTAACTAGTAAACACCTGTCTCAAATAAACACAAAAGCCAGGAGCAACTAAATGAACATCTGTCTCAAATAAACACAAAAGCCAGCAGCAACTAAATGAACACCTGTCTCAAATGAACACAAAAGCCAGCAACAACTAAATGAACATCTGTCTCAAATGAACATAAAAGCCAGCAGCAACTAAATGAATATCTGTTTCAAATGAACACAAAAGCCAGCAGCAACTAAATAAATATCTGTTTCAAATGAACACACAGTCAGCAGCAACAAAAAGAACATATCAATACAAAGCCAGCATTAACTAGTAAACACCTGTCTCAAATAAACACAAAAGCCAGCAGCAACTAAATGAACACCTGTCTCAAATGAACACAAAAGCCCCTAGCAACTAAATGAACATCCAGGTCTCCTGTCAGTGGTTCTCACGTTACAGACTAACCCTGGGCCAGGACCAAAAGGTCCTGGTGGTCCTCCAAGTCTTCTTCCAAAGAATGGGTCCGGACCTGGCCCTCTGGGATGTGGAGGAAACGGGCCCCCGAAATGTGGGGGAGGAAATGGGCCTTCAAAATGTGGGGGAGGATATGGACCTCCAGGATGTGGGAGAGGAAACGGGCCCTCAAAATGTGGGGGTGGGTATGGGCCCTCAACATGCGGGGGTGGGAATGGTCCTCCATGATGTGGGGGTGGGAATGGTCCTCCGTGATGTGGGGGTGGGAATGGTCCACCATGATGTGGGGGTGGCCCTGCTTGATGTGTCGGATGTTCACCCTGCCTGAAACAAATTTCAATAAATTAGATCTCTTTTATAGTGGGTTTAAAAATTGGTGCCAATGTTCCAACAAATTATATGTTAATTACTTCATTCTCAATGTTATTTGAGATATTTCCTTGCATAAAAAGTAATCAGAATGCAGTTTTGTGTGAGCTTATTCGAGGTATATGCATATATGATAATCCTTGCTGGATTGCTTTAAAGAGTTACACAGTACAAAGTTAAAATGCAAGACCAAGTCAAGCACGTTGTCTTCTTCTTTTTAATGGGCCATCCTTGTGATTCTTCCATGTTAGGCAGACTAGGTTTCATCCTTCTCTTGCATTTTTGTTGAAATATTGCCCCACAGGTTAACTTTTAGCGTTGAAATCACCATACAAAAACCATGTTCCTTTCTGTCTCCATTATTTCTTGACGTCACATCCACATTTATCTGCTTACTTTACAATTACATGCGTAGACATCATTTACCAACATGAAAGGTTGTGGCGCATGTATCGCAACAGCTTGCAACTGGAGGCTGGCATTTTGCCATCTGGACATGTCAACCTCATGGACTTCGATAATATCTCTGATGAGCACAAGCTTGTGAAACATAGGAAAGCATGTGAGTTTCAGCGTATTATCGCCGAGGAGTGTTTCTTGCAGTGCAACCCCGTCAGAACTATATATTAATTTGCCCAGGATAGGTCGTCTTTGTTCAACACTGGCACAGCTCCAGCAGAAAATTTGAATATGCTTCCGATCTATCCAACCGCAGTAGTCATTTTCTGGCCCCAGCACATTATACTTTTTGATTATTTTTGACTATTTCACATCCGTGGGGCCAGTGAAGAGGATCTCAGTTCCAATGCAGGTACTGCACCGAGAAAGTGGGAATCCTGGACCGATATAATCACATACGACTGGTCGCAGAGGTCAATGTTGTCGCTAGTGCCGCCATGATGTAAATCTGCTGCATACACATTAAAAGCACTGCATATAATCACTACACGGGCCTCAAACAAATATCTTGCAGTGTAAAATGATGCTGTTCACGTTTTCAGGCCCAGGATTAGAGTAACCTTGCTTGCCATTCATGCCTTCTTAGGTGGCTGGACCTCTCCTATGTTGAGAGGGAGTCATGTTTTCCTTATAATAAACAGTTCAACTGTTGCCTCTTTTCTCGTCTTCTCATTGCTCGCTTGCATTATTTTCACGTTCTGCTACCTGCGCGATGGTTCAGAAGTATGGAAACAGCTATATTTGTCTACCCCTACGCTCCTTGTAACTGCTTTCTCTCTCTCTGGGATAGGGGTTGAGGCACACCGCCATGAACATGGAAATATAAAAATATCCCAGTTTTGTTAGCCAAGAATCGTTGCACCTGCAGCGCCTGAAATAGACTCAACAACCTCCAACAGACATTACATACGCCGAGTGAACGCCAAATCAAACCACATCCTAACATCCCAGCCACATAGGAGAGGTGCAGCAACCTAAGGAGGCATAAATGGCAAGGGTAGTTACTCTAATTCTGGGCCTGGACATGTGAACAGGCCTTGTAAAATATTTATGCGCCACTTTTCGGCTAATTTTAATACTGTTCAAGTGAAATACACCCAATTAAAAAGTGAAGGCATGGCTCGTGAGCAAAAACACGCAGTCATATTGGAAAACCATTTTGTCTACAACACGTGGTGTTCCCAAGCGGTCACCCATCTAAGTACTAAATGCGCCTGACGCTGCCTGCCTTCAGTTATCGGACGAGAACCGGTATTTTCAATATGGTATGGCCATAGACAATTTAATGAGTGAAACTATTCAAATTGCATAAAAGAATACGGTAGGATTCAACCATTAAGTTGACAGGATTTTTGCATCTGGATTGTTGATAGTTTTTAGGCATATGGGCTTTCACATCAACTATTAAATGTGCTATCAGATACCTATTTTTTTTTTTTATTTACAGGAAAGCACCATAGGAAATCTATGTGGTTTTTTTAAAAACAGGAAAGCTTCATCTTTACGTCCTCTTTTACTGCTTCAGGTGTTGAGGAAGATATAAAGTCCTGCTTCACGCTCTTCTGGCTGTTTCGACCATAGACACATCTGTAGAGTTTCTCTGATGTTATCTTCCCATATTGTTCTTGGTCTACCTCTTGCTCTATGTCCCTCTCCTATTGTGGTATATGCCTTGCATGGTATAGCATCAGAAGGCATTCTCTCCTTCAGAAAACCATTTGATTTGCTGTCTTTGTGTGTAATTTAGAATTGGCTCTGTGCCGACTTGATCTCGTATGATTTTATCTCTTCTGGTCACACATACAGCCCTTCTCAGAAACCTTATTTCCATGGTTACTATTTTTCTTTTGTTTTGTTGTGAGTGACCATGTCTGGCACTGGTAGTATAGGGTGAGAATGAATATGCTTTGTATGAGATGTCTCTTTGTGCTGATTGGGACTGCCTTATACTTGGCCTGCTTTACTGCATCGGATGTCAGTTTCTTCATCTTCAGTGAATTGTTTTCCAAGATATTTAAACTCAGATGCCTGTTTAATATATGTGTGCTCTAATGCTATGTTTAAATCCTGCTTCTTTCTTCCTATTGACATTACTTCTGTCTTTTCTATGTTGATTCTTATATTATTTGATTTACATTCTTCATTCATGTTAATGAGCTTTGTAAATTGTTGGAAAGCACCACTGGAAATTTATACATTTAAAAAAACAACAACAGGAAAGCACCATTGGAAATCTATGCGTTTAACAGGAAAGCACAATTGGAAATCAATTTTTTTGGGGGTGTTAACAGTATATATATACACACACACATACCTTTATATATACACACACATACCTATATATACACACACATACCTTTATATATACACACACACATACCTATATATATATATATATATATATATATATACACACACATACCTTTATATACACACACACATACCTATATATACACACACATACCTTTGTCTCAATCTTCGTTCTGCTCGTGTTAGTCTAGGTCCCCTTGGTGTCCATTTAGGGCCCGGAGCTCCGAACTTTTCATTGTCCTCTTTTGTCTCTTTCAATTGACTGGGTCGTTCACTTGCCAAACAGACACCTGCAATTATATGATAAACACCTGGGTATAAGACTGTCGTAAACCACTCTTAATATGTGTGTGTGTATGTGCACATGTAGTGGGAGCTCAAAAATATGTATCCACAGCAATATTCATCTCTTTTTTTTTTTAAAGAACACATGTATCCTGTTTTGGTTGACATTTTTACTTGATATCGGCTTGAAAAGTTAATATTCGTCCCTCCTCCGACGTGGCCAGCAAGTCAACAGATGAATTGACATTCAAGAAGGTATGCGTGACGTCATGTTTGTGGGAAAATATTCTCCCACACTATCTGTGCCTTTCGACCTGGCGTCTCCGTCTTCAACATGCTTTTCTTTTAGGATGTGCTTCCTTAGCCCGTAACCAACCAAGGCCTGACCACCGGGCAGTGGTAGTTTAGTTTCAGAGTATCCTTCTCATAGGTGGGCCGCTGTCCCCAGCTATCGAGTCCCACCTACCCGGGGAAAATACCTAATTAAATTTTTAACGGCATCCTGTGTTGGCGTGGCAGCGCTTCACCAGTCCGGTTGTATGCCACCGTGTGTACGCCCACAGGACAATTACTGTCTAAAAAGCCATAAATCCATGGGGCCAGGTGAAACACAATCGGGCCTGTTTGTGCCCCGTTGGCAACAGAGGCTTCCGTTGCTGAAAACCTATTATAATACACTATATTCCATTTTTAACAAATATTGATCTACAAAGTCACACAAAAACTATTTCACAGTAAGCCCGACGGAACAACGGTCACAGTGATATAAAAATTATCCTCAGATATCCAATGCAACAGGGCTTAAAAAATCTAAAATGATGGGAGCGAGAAAAACACGTCCTGTCCCTTGGACAGTCCGATGTGATCTATCAGAGGGACAAGATGGACGAAGAAGACGTGTGCGCTCTGAGGATTCTACAATGGAATGCAGAGGGAGTCCGCAACAAAAAAGCTGCACTCACAAAACAACTTACGGAAGGAAATATTGATATTGCCTGTATCCAGGAGACACACCTGTCAGAAAAGCACAGATTCTGTATCAGAAGCTTCCAGTGCTTCAGACAGGACAGAGAAAATGGTCCCAAGGGAGGAGTCCTCATCCTTGTAAAAAACAGCATCCCAGCAGCTAGTTTTACAGTGGACACAAAACAGGAGTCTGAGATCATGGGTGTCAGGCTTAACATTGCAGGCAAGGAAATTGTGTTATACAATTGTTACTGCCCGCCAAGTAAAGAACTCTCATTATACAACATGAGAATCCCAGATGACAACTGTATCGTTCTAGGAGATTTTAACAGCTGCTCTCCAAGCTGGGGATATTCACAGCTCAACGACAGAGGAGAAGAAGTGGAGGACTGGCAGACATATGCCAGACTCCAGCTAATCAACAAACCAGATGACTCCCCATCTTTTTTCTCCAGGAGATGGCTTTCAACCAGCCGCCCAGACTTAACATTTGCCACGTTAGACTTAGCAAGCAACATACATAAAATGGTGCTCAGCCAACTAGCAGGTAGTGACCACCGACCGATCCTGATTTCTGTTCTAAATATGAGAGGCCTTTATTCGATGCCGCCCCCTCGTTGGAATTACAAGAAAGCTGACTGGAACAGTTTTGCTAACCTTGCTGATGTATACTCGATAAATGTAAACGGCAAATCAAGTCAGGTTGCTAAATCAGTAAAAGAGTTTACAGAAGCTATATTAAAAGCAGCCAAAGAAACCATACCTCGGGGTTCAAGGAAAGATTACATCCCATTTTGGTCCCAAAAAATTCAAGACCTCCACCAAACTCTCTCAGAAGCAAGAGATAGAGTAGAAAGCAACCCAACGGTAGAAAAACAACATTGCTTACAAAGCAGCAGAAGCTAAGCTAAAAAAAAGAAACACTTCAAGCAACTAGGAAGAGCTGGCAAGACAAAACCAAGAGCCTAAGTTTTGAAAAAGATGGGTCCAAACTCTGGAAACTAGTCAAGTGTCTAAATGGAGAAGCCCAACAAGCCAATCCAATAGTAATAAATGAGGGCAATGAGATCAGATCTGGAAACGATGCTGCAAATATCCTTTTAAATCAGTTTAAATCTGTTAGTGATATTAATATAGAAAAGTCCAGAGAAGATGAGGTAGTACAAAGAATAAAAGAACTCGAGGAGGCCAGCAAGAGTAAACCAGCAGAGAGCATCATGACAGATAAATTCTCAATGAGTGAACTTAACACAGGACTTAACCAGCTGAAATCCAACCAAGCCCCTGGCCCCGATAAAATCACGAATGATATGTTACTACACATGGGTCTAAGTGCCAAAAAGAAATTATTAAACATCTTTAATGCCAGCTGGATTTTTAGTATAGTTCCTCCAGCCTGGAGGAAGTCTGAAATCTTCGTAATCCTGAAACAAGGAAAGCCGAAGAACAACGCAGACAGCTACAGACCCATCAGCCTCACTAGCTGTCTGTGCAAACTATTTGAAAGATTATTGAACAACCGACTGACCTGGTTCCTAGAGAAAAACGTCAAACTAATGGAGGAACAGGCAGGTTTTCGACGTTGTAGATCAACAGAAGACCAAATTACATTTATTGCTCAACACATTGAAGATGCATTTCAGGAAAAAAAGCACACTATTGCAGTCTGGGTGGATATGGAAAAGGCCTTCGACAAAGTGTGGAAAAATGGGCTGAAACAAAAGCTACTTGAAAGTGGAATATCCCATCACATGCTTGGGTGGATCGTAAAATATCTTGAAAATCGATCTGCAAGAGTCAAGATACAGGGTTCAAGGAGCAGATCAGTCTCAATGACACATGGAGTTCCACAAGGCGGAGTTCTGTCCCCAATTCTTTTCCTAGTTTACATTAACGACATAAAATCAACCCTCTGTAATGGAGTTCAAGCCGTTATGTATGCCGATGATCTGGCGCTACTGAGTTCAGAGGAGGACACTGAAAAAGCACAGACAAGGCTTCAAGAATCCCTCGGAACTCTAGAGAGGTGGTCCAATAACTGGTACATGCCTGTAAATGGGGCCAAAACCACACACACCATTTTCAGTCTCTCTACCAAACCCCAGAAAGTTTCACTTAGATATGGCAGCCAGGCACTGATACATGATGACTCACCGTCATATTTAGGAGTAACCTTTGACTCAAGACTCACATGGAGAAAACAGATAGAAAAGACACAGAGCAAGGGACTCAAGAGAACACAACTGATGAGGAAGTTAGCTGGAACAGACTGGGGGGCAAACCTCAATGTCCTTAAGAGGACCTATACAGGCTATGTGAGGCCAACACTAGAATATGGAATAGCTGCTTGGGGCACAGCAGCTAAATCAAATTTTCAGAAAGTCTCAAAGATCCAAAACCATGCTCTCCGTATTATGACAGGGGCAATGCGCTCCACGCCCATATCAGATATGGAAACAATTACTGGTCTCCATAATCTGGAAGATAGGAGAGACACAAAGATCCTCACCCAGCTCTCCAAATACCACCACTTTCAAGAACAACCCATGTACAGCCGACTACAGAAACCCCAGAAGGCTAGACTAAAGAGAACTTGCTTTATTAAGAACGCAAATGCCAAGCTCGCTGTCCTTAAACTCCCTCCCATAATACCAAATGTTCCACTTAAACCTTACAACGACTGCCCCGCTTGGCTTAGGGATAGCCTACCAACATTCAGAACCACTGTAACAGGGGTCTCCTCCAAATCATCAATGAGCAGCACTGATATGAAATCAACTACAGAAGGAGAGATCAATAGACTTTACCCACACCAGAGTTGGATTCGAGTATATACAGATGGTTCAGCCAAGAGAGCAGTAAGAGACGGAGGAGGAGGAATATACATAGAATGCCCAAATGGTTTAAAAATCAACCAGGCTGTACCAACAGGTTCATATTCCTCCAATTACAGAGCAGAGGCAGAAGCACTTCTAGCAGCATGTTCTTTCCTGAATGGACAACAGCACAGCAAATATAGCAGAGTGGTCTTTCTGACTGATGCTATGTCAGTTCTACAAGCAATTGTTAACCCAAAAGACACTCAGTTTGTAGACTTGACGCAACAGCTGATTTACTTAGGCTCTTCAGTAGAACAATCTGTACTGCAGTGGATTCCAGGTCACTGTGGCTTGGAGGCAATGAAATAGCGGACAGATTGGCCAGAAGCGGCAGTGACATGGTACAACCAAATAGCGACTTAACCCACCAAGAGATGAAAACGCTAATACAATCTAGTATCCAAGAAAGGTGGCTGGATACCCACACCAGATTTTCTCCCCAAGACTCACTTCATCGCCTCTCTAGAGAGGGACAGTCTATTATATTCAGACTAAGGACAGGGCACAACAGATTTCGTCAACATATGTTCAAATTTTTCGGTGTAGGAAATACGGAGACGTGTCCCTGCAGCATGGCACCCGAAAATGCTGAGCATGTGCTCCAACACTGTCAACTGTATGCTGACAACAGAGACGCAATCTGGCCTGTTCCAACCACAATGAAGACAAAACTGTATGGTACACAAGAGGATATGGATTGCACGATAGCTTTCATAAAGGCTACCGGCCTCCTGATATAAGTTTTCTGACAGAAGGATCGAAGAAGAAGAAGAAGAAGAAGATCAGATGAATGCTTAAAAAAAAAAAAAAAAAAGATCATGGGCCGGTTCCAAGGGTCAAAATTACAGAATGGCTGTCCCACTTGGGCAAAAAGAAATGCAGGCTTTCATCAAGAAATGGCACCCAAACCTCACTACAGTTAATCAGCGTACCGATTTTTATTTGATGATTATGTGACGTGGTTGGGCACTTTAGAACATTTTAAAATTAGAAAGAAAAAAGGTACAGTTAAAAGAGGACTGACTTCTCTGCACTGGGTTTTATCCTGTTATGCTCAGTCTCTCTCCTCAGAACAGCTAGCTGGCTGCCAACAGAGCACGACCTCCATAGCTCCGGCAAAGATCCTAGGGATCTCCGTAAAAACTGCAATTGTGAACTGA